ATACAAACTTACGTTTCATAAAGTAATTCGAAGCCTATAAACATTTGCGTTTACTTTCGTACACCGATCAATAGAAGTTACTATAATGACATAAAAATAAATTAGACATGCAAATTATGAAAAAGTTTCGTTTTCGTTCGATTTCTGTTTTTGCCGCCACCTTGGAAATTCCGCCAATATGTTTTATTCAACTTAAAGTGAATACAAAGTTAAATTTCTAATTATGATATTTTAAAATTGAATCGAGTAAGTACAAGTAGCATGTCTCTGTGTACATTTGAACTACAACACTATTCAAAGTACCAGTGAGTAGTGAAAGAATGTTTTAAATAGATATCATGATAATATATCACTTTACGTAAACAGAGATACAACAGAAATAATTCACTTCCTCTGATAATGGTACGATAATTAGTGATATTCTTCATGTTTTTCCCTTGCAACTGTCTAAAAAATCCTTTTATACAAAAGACTGCTGAAAGACACCATCCACAATTTGTGATAAATACTTTTTTTTTATTGTCTTCTTTTACTCAGTAAAACATTCAGAAATTAATTGATCAATAATTCGCGCTAGTTGGCATTGTTGGATTATTAATTGATCCAACCCATAAAGTAGTTTCTAATGAAAACTAAGCGTTTGCTGCAAACTGCCTATCGAAGATATTCAAAATACTCTCTTTTAATCTTTTGACGCATACTGGTTTAAAAGCATGAATAGAAATTACAGTCAGCGGTGAGTTGTCTAGTTGTAGCAGGTAGAAACTCAAAAATTACTTAGATTTTTAAGAGAAGAAAAAGATTGTCTATTTGGAAAGAATCATCTAAACAGTTACGGTGTGATAAAAACAAAATCTCTTCTAGAATAAAACATTTCTATATAACTTAGAATTCCTTTAGAAACGTCCTTATTCCGTCCTTGTGTAAATACTTAAGTTGGCATGCATCAGCATGCCAGCTTTTGCCTAGAGGTGAGCACAATATATTCTTTGACAAATTGTTTCCTTCTATACACTATACTCTTTTCTTGACATCAATTTTAAGTTATAATTTGTTATAAAGTTAGGTTAGGTATAATTAATTAGTACTAATTAGTATTTAGTTATAATTAAAAACTTAAGTTGCTCTAAAAATGTATTTAGGCACGTAATACTGAATACGTTTTGGCAGCCTCACAAATAAGTACTTAACAAATATTTGCCAATTTTCGACCATTTATTTTAATTATTGATAATATAATCATTCAACCAATAACCGTCAAACATTATATGTATCAGTATTGTTTATTGATATCCTTTCATTGAGAAAATATTATTATTTTACTTTCCAGATACGTTTAAAAAAACTATTCTAATTTTAGAATATTATGTTACAATATTAGCTAAATCATACCAACAGTTATCAATAAAAATTAGTGATAAAAATAATCTAATTAAATTTTAATACAAGTTTCTCTCTGCACAAAATAAAAACCTCTACGTAGGAGATGTTGTTATGTTTATTTAATAGTGTGTACGTCATAAAAAGCAATGTCTGCTAATCGAGATATGCGTATATATGTGGCTAAATAAAACAATCTTTACTTTACTAATAGAATATAATGATAAATTCGTTTTTAAAGATGCAAATAAGTAAAGTTTTTGGACATCTTACCAACATTGTTCAACAAAATTCATTAAAATCAAGAAGCTTCCTGTCAAATCGCGCAGTAAGAAATTCGTGAATTTCGTACCTAATTCATCAAATTTAAATTAAACAGCAAGTTACTCGTTGACCCAATTAGCAATCGCTCAGCAAGGGAAGCTTTAAACAAATAAACCATTATTTTTAAATATTTTTTTAAAGTGTCAAGCATTAATTAAATTAGCATTACCTAACATAAAATACACGCAAGTTTCGTTTAAGTCTAGATGTAAAAGAAGGCTAGACTTAGTCAGAAAAAATATAGTGTTAAGATTAAAATTAACTTGAATATTGCTTTTGTTCTCTTAGCTGTAGCTGACAGGTAAAATTTCAACGTCTATCGTTAACCGTCGTAAATTTTTTTGGGACAAAAAATTGGGAATTAAAACTAACCTAAGCCGAATAGCTTAGTTTTAGGTATAGGCAGAGATTTATGGCTCATTTATAATTGACCTGTGGTACTTTGCATCAATATAAGCTGTAGAAACTATTAATAGTCGCATCTATATTATATCAAATGCATTTAACGGAAATATTTATAAAGTTTAAAGGTTAAAAGTTTCAGTAGAAAATTAATTTAATGTGTCACCATAATTTTACCTGAAACAAAATTTTAATACTTTGTTTTTTTTTTTTTAAATTTGATGTTAATTGAATGTCAACCGCTTCAGTAATACTTTAAATTGCAAAAACAGATAACCGCGTTTGTTTTGATGCCCAACCGGGCGCTAATAAAATTACGCACGCGTTATCTTCAAGAGCTATCACGTTATTATAAATTATTGTAAATGTGCATTTGCTATCTACAAACAAAATTCAAGACATTAGTTAAAGGTATATGAAGTTTTGAATAAATAAAAATACACTGCACTCTATAATAATAACATAATATAATTAAAATAATAAACACATTTAAAAACAGAAACACAATACGGAACAAGCAGCAAGCGACGAATATAGGTTTCTTGTTATAACCTAAATAATTGAAGCGCTCGAGTCAATTCATAATCATTCTAAACAAAAAAAACTAATTATAATTATAATGAACTTTAAAAATATTTTCAAAAATATTTTTTATACTTGTAGACAATAACTTACGAGTACTTGTGTCCGATGAATGAGAAAACATTAAAGTAAAGTAAATAAATATTATTATTAAACTGGAAAGTGAAAGGCTCTTCATACAGGAAAGTGTCTAATCAATTGAGAGTTTAATGCTTAAAATAAGTCGCAGCCTACAAAAAAGAAATTTTATCAATACAATTATAAAATTTAATATCAATTTTGAAATGGTGTATGATTTAGTCAATAATAATAGTTGAATAAAAATAGCTACAAAAGTTTTACCAATTGACACGTACGTGACTATATTAAATACATTATTTCATAAAAGCAGTCAACGAAAATATTTCAAAAATTGTCCATACTCTTGATGACTTTATCAGTATCAAATCAACCCCATAAAGCTAGAGTACTAGGCGAGCGGTTTTATGGTAATGACATTTCCAAATACTAAACATGTAGCATAGACAGCACAAAAGCTACCGGCCTTGATATAATAGTATAACATTAAGAAATTGTACATTTTGCAACTACTATCATGATATTCTTAACCATAGACGATTCTACACATAGTGAGAGAGAGAGTGAGTGAGAGAGGAGGTTTGAGCAAGATAAAAAAGAACGTTACTGTTCCTAAACAAAGATAACAAAAAAAAAAACAACCGCCTCCTATTTAACGTAGGGCAATAGATTTAGTAAGCTGAAAATGGCCTATGTTTTTAAATTCGTTGTATATTTTCGTATTTTATTTATCTAAATAGCGAAGCTACAACATAACTATGTATCAAGGCGTCAATAAATGTAAAAGTAATATTTTTTTTCTTCGCATTGTCTTCATCTTATTATCTGTTCTATTTTTCAAGTAGGATAGACGTGCAGTTATATATTGCGACTCTTCAATGATAGCAGCTACGTTCATTTAGGAAGTCTGGGTTAAATTAAAAAAAAATATCAAAACCCGCCATTGCTGGTTTCTATATAAAAATAAATGATTCTTCATACCTTTTTTTAACTTTTTTTGCTCGGGGAATGCTTTTCGCACCATACCCTCCGTTGGGGAAACGCATTGCGTGTGTAGGACTTCAGGAGCACCGGTCTACCGACTAAACCCCGCGGCGGCTTACCTCGGTAGTCACCGGTTACCTCATTGGCGGCTTCTGGAGTCCTCCCTGCCGTACCCTATGTCTGAGGCACATCCTGGGGTGACCGTAGTCACCCTGGGGCAGAACGCTGTCGCGCTACTCACTGCTCTTCACAGTAAGAGGCTCTACAGCTAACAGACAGATGACACTTCCCGGCCGCACTGGAGTGTCATCTGTCTCGGGTCGTTTGCAGGGGCCACATGTCCCCAAGATGTGGCCGCAGCGACCCTTAGGCGGCAACTGGGGAGCTAGCCACGTCCCCTTCGCCGCCTCCTTCGAGCGGGCTCGGCCCTCTCCGATCCCGCTCTGCGGCCTCTTGGAGCATGACGTCATCCCAGAAAGAGACCGCGGCTGCCCATCCCTCGCCACTTGCCACCAATGCTGATGAAGCAGGGCAGCAGTGCTGATCGAAGTCCCGATCGGACCCGCAATGGTGGCATTGTGCCGTGGCCTCCCGTCAATACGATTCGACACAGATGCTCATCGAAGCAACCGTGCCCGGTGAGCATCTGAGTCAATCGGTAGGTGACACAGTCGTTCCTCCCTACCCACGCTTCGAAGCTCGGCAGAACTGCTCTGACGGCGCATTGGCTAGTACAGCCCTAGATTTCGAGTCGTGCCTGCGAAGCCCGCAGGGCTTGCGTTTGCGCGTTCCGCCTTAGCATTCCGGGCTCACGATACGGCGCTGTCTCTTCACCATTCCTACCGACAGAGCAAACTTGGTCATAGACCATCGCATCTATGTCCGCCAGGATGTCGAATGGTAATTATCGCGCCAGGACCGTTGCTGGCTCAAACGAGATCGTAGGATAGCCCCGTACGACCCGTATGGCAATCAACCGCTGCAGGCTTCTGAGTAGAGCCTTGTAGCGGGAGGCACCCACCAAGTCATTAGACCAGACGATGATGCCTTATACCTAAAATCAACAACTACCTACAGATGTTTTCATATTTTATTTTTATATCATAACGTATAACGAGAATAAACTAGAATGAAATACTCCAACATGGTATTCAGTAACTTTCACAGGTGAATAGCTTTCATTTATTTTATAACCAGCGTTCCAGGCAGCTGAGCCGCCATGTAACTTGAACGCGTGTGACGTGTTTGAAATGTTTACGCGAGGAAGTCGTGCACTATTGCCAGCGACTTCAAGTAGTTGCAATACGGATCTTCATTGGAGACAATTGGATAGGCGGCTACGCGCCATTGAGCAACCAGGTGAATAATATTTAGTTAAAATAATGCACAGATTTGAGATTACAATGGATATTCTTATTTACATAAATATAATTGCAACTAACTGTCATTTTTATATTTCATGAGTGAAAGTGAAAAAATGATAAAAAAATCTGTGGAGAAAAGAGCAATATTTTGGACAATCAATTATTTGATCTTATAAAACGTTTTTATTTTACATTTTAAAAGAATGGGTTTCATTACTTAAAGAATAGTATAACACTGTTTTTCTATTAGTGATAACGATCGGAGAACATCTTATGTTTTTAAAAATATTAGCTATCGTTATGGAGTCTGAAGTAACTTTATTAATAGTGTTCACAGATATAATGAGACGTCTCGTCTCGGTATTTACTCTATACGTTCTTGGAGGAGAACAGAAGCTCCACAAACTGTTAGAATAGTAGTGTGCTCTAAATTTATATACTGTAAATTGAATAACATCCACTATTTCCTTTAAAGTCCAAGTTGTTGACCGACTTTAAATGTTGAGATGAGAATTAAAAATATGTGATTACTAGTATATGTTGTTTCTTTGTTAAAATCCTTAGAAATTCTACAATATTAGCTAACTTTACTTTCACTTTTTACCTTTGTTTGCCAAACTTATTCGGTGAATTTCATCTCTTCTATATGCTTGGTGTCTATTTTATAAACCTTAAGATTAATTAGTTGTCCTTCTCAATTTAAATCATCCTAAACTCTACAATAAGTACTGCTTTTTTTCTTCAAATTCTTGTGTCTTGTCTAGAATTTTATGTTAAAAAGTTAATACTAAAATATCGTTGTTCCAAATCAACGTCATTGAAAAGAGTCCTTTTGTGGTTCGCACCACGGTGCGAATTGACCACGTACGAAAAAGATATACGTCGATTTACACCATGGTCCCAAACGACCTTTTCAAAAAGCGTCCGTGTGTGATTCGCATCATGGTGTAAACAGCTCGTTGTGTCAATCGACGATGTACCCAAATTTATAGCCTTACATTATTTTTTAATACTGTTAAATCATACACCACCACCGGTTTGCAATACCCAGGTTATACTCGCATATTGCCGCATTTTTAAACCATTATTTTATTTTGTGTAGAATCCTATTTTAAAGCCTCACCAAGAACAAAGCAAAGAGAATCGAACCATACTGCTACAGCTAACAGATAGAAGTCAACACACACAAAGAAATTCCGGAATAGCATTCAACAAAGCTGACATTTTTCCACTGTCCAAAGATCCGGTTCTAGTATTCTACGCACGTTGTGTGTTTCAAAACATATTGTAATTTATACATGTATTTTGCACATTTTAAAGTAGATAGTTTTTTTACGCCCATTTCTTGATAGAAGATTAGTAAAAATAACCTAAATTAAGATTATTGTAAGTATCTGCTGTGAAAATCATAAAAGATACGTAAAGTAACATCGTAGACACGGGTGGCATTATTAAAGCCAATATTTTTTTTTTAGAAAAATATCGGCTTTAATAATGACAGCCGTAATCGATTTAGTTCTAAAATTTTTATTAAATAAACCTAAGACTAATTCAATAGATAGTTTTATTCTTCTTCTTCTAATAATTTTATTTTAGTTAGGTATAACTTTAATTCATCTTCATTTCTCCTAAACTGTTTGAATGTTGACCCTTATCTGTATACAATACCTTTATTTTTAGAACATTGTTTTACTTAAAACTGAATTTAATTTGTGCACAGCTTGGACAATAAGCTTCAGCCAATCTCGTTGGAGACAGTGTGCGAAAAGTACTTGTCGATGTGATTCCGTGCGGCGTTCGCTCAATTGCTGGCGGGCGGGTTTTACTGCACTCACTCCAGACCTGGTCGTCCCTGCTGATTTGATTAATATGTTAGTATAAATAAGGTTTTTTTACGTGTACATTAAAAATAACTTTTTAGAAATAATGAGTATATAAAAGAGTCGGCACACCAAATTACATGTTACATGAACTATCAAGTAAAATGGTGACACTTTGTCACGCATGTCACATCAAAATCAACAAAAGACTATCAAAGAAGTGGCAAAATCTTGTATGAATGGGCAGTCATTGTATTTGTTTTAAAATTACCTTCCTGCTTAAAGTCTTTAGACTAAAGCCTAATGATAGTTGGTTCACCTTTTATAGTATTAGACCTTTGATGTACTTGTGAAATGTAATGCCGTTTATTGTGCACCATGAAAATCAGCTTTGCAATGTCGTATTAATCATTTCCAGAGACTTGGGCACTAACAAACTGCGGACATTGCACAAGACGACGTTCAAAGGCATGCGCTCGCTCGCCGAACTGGACATGTTCGACAATAACGTCGAATATCTGCCAGCTGGTATATTTGACTCATTGGTCAATTTGAGAATACTGTTAGTATGAATTGAATCAATCTTGCTAAAGCTCAAATCTTAGTAAAGAACTATATAAGATTTTTGTGCGATTTTTATAGAACCCCTAAGTAATACGGTTGTATATAATTACTATCGCTTCAATATTTTGATTAAAATTGTACTAGATTAGATCGATATAACGTGATTTAAAGTTATTTCCTAAAAAAAATCATTTATTCGTTTATATCAGTTCTAATCATTATAATTTTTTACAATGTTATCCCATAAAAATATTCGTATTATAATCATACTATAAAACATTTTTTTATCCTTTCTCAAGAACGAAAATAAAAACCTAATTAAAGTTAATATTAAGTCAAATTAAGAAAACTAAATTTTTGAACTAAATGTGTTTAATCATGTCAAGAAAATTAATTTTTCATAGCATTAATTTTATACCCTCTGTAAAGAAAACGCAATCCGCAGAATCTTGTTAGTTATGTTTTCCTTGCAGTCACTGAATATCTCACATTCTATAGGTTATAACCGCAGTAATCTTTAAAATACTTTAAACTTTAGTCAACTGTTATTATAAATCTGTTTGCAGACGTCTTCAGCGAAATTACTTAGAAGAAATTGACGATGATGCTTTTAGATCAACAAAGAAACTTTTTCACGTAGATTTATCAAATAATTTCCTAAATTCACTGCCTGAAAAGCTGTTCATAAACAATTCTCTTTTAGAAACGATCGATATTTCGAATAATCATATTACGTACATTCCTTCAGACAGTTTCGTTGGCCTAGAATCACTGCAAATACTAGATTTATCTAATAATAAAATTCAACGAATAGAAAATGGTACTTTTACTCTAATAACGCTTCAAATATTAAAAGTCTCAGACAACAAGATATCTAATATAAGTGAAAATGCATTTGAGAGTTTACGGGCTTTAGAAACGTTATTACTGGGGCGAAACAAACTAAGAAGTGTACCAATTCGCCTGTTTCACAAATTGGACTGTCTGACTTTTCTGGATTTATCTAGTAACAATTTGATGAGTGTAAGTTTAACCCAAGTTTGAATGTAAGTGTTGTGTATAATTCTAAACTACTTTAATTACCCTACAAATATTTCAGCTTACAGGAGTGGAATTCGAGAAACTTCACCAATTACGTATCTTGGACTTAAAAGATAATGCCCTGATAGAGTTACCGAATGATACTTTTTCAAATTGTATCAACTTAGAAAAACTTGATTTATCTAAAAATAGATTACGATTCCTAAATGCCACCACTTTTGCTGGATTAGAAAATCTGACTTCACTTTTGTTATCTGAAAACAAATTATTTGAAGTTCATTTTAAGACATTTTTAACATTAAAAAACTTGACAACTTTGTGAGTATATTTTTATTTTATTTTCATACTTGAAAGTCAATGCATTAATTTTGAAAATAAATTTGGCCAAGGCTTCCACTATCACGACAGACCTACTATCATACCTATACATTGTGTGGGGTTTTTGCTATTCCAACGTTCAACTTCACCGTCAGCCCGAATGGGTCGGAAGGCAGATAAGCAAAAAATTGTATTTTCTTTGTCACGATGTTTTTTCTCTTTCAATTTATCATTTCTATTCTGAGGACTTGTTTGCTTATTTTGTTATTCAACATTGCGATAAAAAGTCGTAATTGCTACGAAAGTAAAACAATGGGCACCACTATCATGAAAACTTCGTAGTGGTGCCGTGCCGACCCTTATCTGTTTACAATCTTAACTTTTTCATGTCTTTTGTGTGAAATTGAGGTTTTCGCAAAGATCAAAGTAGGCTGATTTTAACTGTTTTTGAAACATAGGTAATATATGTATATTTAAATCAGCAGAAAAATAACCCTTCCTTTTTTATGGCTACTTGGATGAAGATGGTCTGATTATTTTCATCATTATCATCACCATCATCATCAGCCTATCGCAGTCCACTATTGAACATAGGCCTTTTCAATTGCACGGTACTTAGATCATTATTATTATACTTGTAGTGAATTCCCATTAAGATCCTCTGGGAACTTTCCTCATTTAAAGCCGTTTCTCTATTATTCACATATTTTTATGTGCAGATTTCAATGAAATGTGCGCTTCTTTTGATTCAGACTAAAATTACCTACACACTGTATTATTACACAAATCTTTTAAAATAAATTTACGTCTTTTTTACATAAGTTAACTAATTTTAGAGGGTATTTTATCAGCAGTATCTACATCAATCAATAATTATATATTTAATCTTCATGTTAATCTATCTTTGTTTTTCTATCCGTCGGAAATAATAGTACTTTTTTTTGTGGATGAAAGCTACCCTACGCCCAATTTTGTAGCCTTGATCCTTTGTAGTTAAGTGAAAACATAACAAATAATTTAACTTATTCTCGAGTTTATTTTACTAGTTAAGAAACAGTAACCGTCTAAAAACTAGTACCTACAAATGTTATGTTCAAGCATGTATGAGACATGTTTCAATCAGGACTTAATTTATTGCTTAGTTTAGGTATGCATTGAACTTTAATCTCCAAAACGAACATTAGTTTTTTGTTTAATTTACGTTATGGATATACTTTAAATACATGATATTTAATATCGTACCACTTGTCGTTTACGATGCATTTTTTTTTTAATAAATTAACTCCCAATAGGTAACTGATGCAATTGCCTTTCAGACACTTGGACAATAATATGTTTCCTTCTTTGCCATCACGAACACTGGATTATACACCAAAACTTGCAATTGTTAAACTATCCGGCAACCCTTGGCATTGTGACTGCCATGCATTGTACATTTCAGCGTAAGTATATATTCTAATCAGGTAATGCATTCATTCAGTCGAATAGCCAATAGTGTTAGTTATCTCCTTAACAGTAAATATTCCATAATTTCCTAAAATCTCCTAAAATATGATTGTCTTTAAACCATAAAATAACGAAGTTTTAATTTGTACCCACAAATTATATATTAGTATTAGTTTAAAAAATTACAAACTTTTTAAATGTCCATCGCAATGAATGTCCACTCCACGTGAATGCGGAACTCGACAGGATTCAAATGACGACGTATCGACATTTTGAAAATATCGATGTATGTCTATTTATGTGCCGTTATCAACGACAATGTCTTTTTCTCATCATTCTGTGTAGTATAATGTTTTTCGTCGCAAAATATCGTGACTATATTCTATTTATTTAGTGTAGAATAAATCGTTTAAAAAGAGTCACAAAAGTCTAAATTATTTCTAATTGTGTTGATTTAGTCACTCTACCGTACGAGTGAACCCGTGGGCAGAGGTAAATTTATAATCTTAAAAGGTGAACCTTCAGTCGGTAATTCAGCCAAAACTATAAAAATCGATTATCGATTATACTTTCCATAATATAATAATGCCATCACGAATCCCTAGTCAGTTATATTTGATGGCGAATGTAACATTACGTACTTAGGTCAAAGAAGACAAAAACATCCAATCTCTTACAAAAATTCTACAACACATGCCCGTGTAATGATAAATTATATAAAAAAATATTTGTAAAGATTATTTATTTATTTAAAACTTAATGCACATGTTGTACAAAGGCGGAGTTAATACCATGAGGCATTCTCTCGCAATCAACCTTCAGGTGATGTAGAAATATTAAGAATACTTAAAGTTATAGAAGCATCACCCTACCAAATACAAACTTTCAAACCTAAATACTTACGTTTAATTACGGCATAATTGCAGAAAGAAACGTGTTTCTTAAAATCCATTTACTTTATCGATGGTGTAGATTAGATCAATTAAAAGCCAAAGTCATGACAACCAATAATATGGAATGTGAGATAAAATCAGTACAAGAAAGTACCTACTTACTTGTATAAATAAACTGTCATATTTGCGAAATGTTTCATGTAATCTAAGGTCTAATGGCTTCTGTTTACTGTTATTTAATCCATCGTAATTTGTTTTCAACAACACAAGAGTAAGATGAAGCCATCCAATTGTGATGAGTCCTAAAATGATCACAATATACCAAGACATTTAATACAACGTCGTTTTAAAGTTGTCTAAAAGCTCTTTTTAGCTACAAGATGTATTAAAATTTCTCGATTTATATTGATTTAAGCAAGAGAGTGCAAATGATAATCTTTAAAATAGTTTTGATTGGGTTAGCACTAACAGCTGACTTGAGCACGCCATTAATGAGCCTTATACTCGTAACTATAGTATTAGTCTATAATACGAGTATATGATTATAAATACAGATTTACATTTCAGGTGGGTGCGGTTAAACGAAATGAAAATTTGGGACTATTCCCCTACTTGCGTGTCACCTTGGTATTTAGAAGGTCATTTTCTCAAGAAACTAAAGTTTCCCGAACTTTGCTCAGGTCAATGGGCAAGTATGGTAAACCTTTCACCTCGCCTACCCATTCAACACCTTTTAGCGCTTAATGTTTCAGTAAATAGGAAACCTCAAGACAGCATGGAGCAAAACCATGACGTCACTACTGTTGATGCTTGGCATTAGTAAGTTTTAAGTCGTACTTTGAATAGGTACCTAATACTTGTGTAATTATTTAAATTTCTATATACAACAATACTCCTTTCTTATGATAATAATATCTCGGTTCTTATTGAGCTTGAAATTTTGCGAAAATGTTTCTAATGTGACGTAGGTGTGCACTAAGAAAGGATTTTTAAGAACTTGTTGTTGTTTGTTGGTTGTAAAATCGGATTTGGAAATTTATATGAAATTTCGTCGTTTGGTAGTAGCGTTTTTAAACCCACCTTAAATACTCTTATTTTAAACTTATAAAAAACGGTGTTATTATTAATTTTTCAAAATTACCCTTAAAAAGGGGGTGCAAGTCTGTATGGAGAATATACCTATCATCTTGATTCATGTCTTCATTCATCTACTCGCTGGCAAAAGCTGGTAATATATATAATATATCTCTAGATCAAAATATAAAGTTGTTACTAATACCTGCATAAAATGTACCTCAGAATTAAGTAAAGAAAAAAATGTTTTATCATATCTTTTAATTTCTTGGTTTTATCATTGATATATTTCAATTCAGATGTTGGATATTTTCTTTATTTGATGTATTTAAATATCATCATATCTATATCAGTGATGTTGTGATTATAAAATAAAACATTTAATTTAAATTTGACTTCTTAATTTATCAAAACAGGAAGCCCTTTTGATAAACCTGTTATCTATAATATAATTATCATCTACAGTATAAATATCTACAGTTCATTTTATTAATGAAATTTTATTGCATTATTAAACCGATAATTTTGTAATTTGTTGTATGTTATTAAAAGGTTATCATAGATTTAAAGAAAGAAACTTGACAAGCTTTTTGGACACGAATTTAAAAGATGCTATTAGCGTTAAATTTATAATCATTAACATCTGTGAGACAAATTGTAAAGAAGTTTCTTCTTGCATCTATTCAGATTCAGAAAACCAACGTAAGTCTTTTTTGTTCAGTTCGTTTTCAGTTAATGAGGCATTTTTTTAAGTTTTCATATTGTTTAACGCTTATGGCAATTGGTTTATGAATAAACCGACTCAATGAATGTCGGGCCACGCGTAATGTAGGGTTCAATTGTTTATTACTACCCGTTTTAAACAATTACTAACTTCATCTCATTAAATCCAACCAAAATTAACATTTTAAAGTTTAAAATATCGAGAAGAGATCAAATTCCCTCAAAGGATTAGAAAAACCTATCCAACTCTATACTGTAGCATAGATGGCAAAAATAAACTTATCCTTACTTTAAGCGTGGAAACTGTTTTTTTTAACTCTTGTAAGCGTAATTAATATGCACTTACAGAAAATAAGCTAAGTCGTGGACAGACGAACGGGAAGACAAACGGATGTGGTGAAATTGCAAGTATTCCTTGTTAAGAATACAGAATCCCAAAAAACATGAATTCTTTGCTTTTATCACACTATTTTGATAGAACAGGACTGGAAAACTCATATCTAAACGAATCGAAGGTATCGAAGAAGTACCTATAGTTAAAAGCTTAAAATAAGAGAAAAAATGTTACTCTGAATTGCATGACAGTTTAAGCTCTGGTCATAGAGTGAGAGAAAGAATTAAATAAAGTGGTCCCATTCAAGTAATCTGAAAAAATCTGCCATGCTAAAAAGAAGCTCGGTATTGGCTTAAAAGACTATGTGCCAAGTTTTACCACATATTTTCCACGGTGAAAATGATTATTGATGATCTTTAAGAACAATGAACGATTGCCACCGCCATTCCAAATAAAAAAAAAAATCTATTCGCTTTATCACCCTTTATATATTTGATCATATATCGATTGCATATAACTGACTTATTTAGCTGTACACTGAGTGACTTCACAAAGACAGTATTATATATTATATGTTACAAAACACAAACTTAGAGGTTATGTAAAACAAGCATTTTTGTAATAGTTACACTATCGCATTAGGATATACCTGTAATGATAGTAGTAAGTGTGGATACTAAATAAATAAACTTTAAAGATTAATCGATTTAAATATTACAATGCATTTGCATTAATAAAATCTACAAGTTAATCGAACACCGTTGCATATTACACAACGTAAAATAGGAAAATCATAAAATATAAGTCATTTAGTGCAATGGATTTGGTGAAAAAGATCATAGATTTATACTGATTTAGTAGTCGAACGATAGACAAGCAAATAAAAATTCTAAAAATAACATTCTCAAAATAACATCTCTATATTCCAATTTTATAAAAATTGGTATAAATTATGCAAAATTATTCTCCATTCGCAGTTTAAGCTTCATTTATGGTCGCAGTATACAGGGGAAATGACCCCCTTCTCTCCAAAATTGTACCAATGATATTGAAAACTCTTCAAAAAATGTATGGTAATAAAAGAAACACTTTTCAGCAAGTAAATGTAACAAGTAACAAAGAATGAAAATAATTCCAGCAAAGTCGACATGACTTATTGCAATAAAGAAAGCCTATTGTTACGTGTTAAGGTTCGTTGATTTGGAATTATATATACGCTGACGACTAAAGAAACTTTATTATTAAAACATTTAAAGACGTTCAAACAATACTGAATAATAGTCCGGAATGATCGCCGAGGAATAACGCTGGGTTACTCTTTTGTTCGCTCAGATCGCTTCGATGTTTACCGCACTGTAGCTCAAACTGAATTGTTTTCGGCGAAGACGTGCCCGTATTTACAATACCACTATAAGGCTCATTCTAGCAAATTCTAATTCATATGAGAACTTTCTGTTTCCGAGAAATACAAGTAGGTGTTAAATGTAAACAAGATAATGGTGTGACAATCTATTTTCGATGTAATACATCATATATTGTTCTAAAACTCATTTTTTCGAGCTACCCTGCATTATTATTAGAACTTTTCTTGGAACTGTACCGTTATATGAACTCTCTTTTCTTTTCTTGAATTTTCATGCTATTCGTGAAATTACGTGACGATATTATATTCTACCTGCGTAATTTGTTGGTTCATTGGAAAGATTCAACTCAAGATAGTCCGTTCAAATGGCGACGATAAGCAAATGCATGGAATTCCTGTTCATCTTTATTATAAAAATAAAAATATATTATAAATCCAAACTGAAACCTTAACTGCTTAAGTTTTTCGTTAAATAGTTTTTTAATGTTAAAAACTTTAATGAAAGCTGTTTTAGGGTAAGATTGCTAGTGGATAGGGAAGTAGTGATAACTAATAGTCCATTTGAGGTGAACTTACTCCAAATAACTGGTGACTAGCTTAGCTTTTGACAAAGATTTTTTCATTCGTGTATTCTATGAAAACAGTCTCATAATTCTTACAAAAAAAGTTAAAGGCTTTAGTTAAAGGGAGACTATAGAGGTAAAAGGAAGCTGATCAATGAGACCTCGCATTTTTGTTAGGGTTCTGAAACTACAGAGTTAGAATAGGGAGCCTAGTCTAACTCCGTGGTTTCAGAACCAAAAACCATCGAGAAAATGACGAAGAAAATTTTTGGAGGAATTTTTCCGAAATTTTTTTTTCGACTTAGACCTGAAAGATGGATAGATAGATAGATAACTCTGTATTTGCACACATTTTACAAGTATTATGGTACATAAAAATATCACATATGTAATGTACAAAGAGCGGCCTTATTGCTAAGAGCAATCTCTTCTAGGCAACCTTAGGATGGATTAAAATGTTTTGGAGAGACAGTAGTAGTTGAAGGTGCAATGGTAAAATCAAAAGAAAAATTAACACATAAAACACATATACAATATATATACATATACACATATATATACGATATACATACATATACATATACTTATATTTACATAGCTAGTTAAGTATATCACATAAAAGAGACGAAAAAATGAAAAGAAACATTTTTTTCATGCCTTGACGCGTAATTGACTTAATCAAATTTAATAAAATTTATGAACCATTCTCTTATAGCTGTTCATCGTTTGTGCTCGTCTGATGTTTATCGGCAATGAATTCCACATACGTGCAGCTTCAACAGTAAAATAATAGTCATAGAATTTTGTGAAATGCAGAGGCATTGAAGATGCCTCTGCATTTCACCAAATCCTCGGATGACCTCAAACATTTATCAAATGTGTTATTAAGGAACTTGAACCGTTCTTTGCGGTAAAAGGGGGCTCTAGGATTGAATAAGATGTTATAAAAAAAGTGAGGATATGAGTATTCCGGCGAGAGCGAATCGGAAGCCGCTTGAGCTTTTGAGGAAATTCAGAAACATGATCATATTTTTTTTACGCAAATACAAATCGTATGCAGAGATTTTGAAGTCGCTCAAGCTTACAAGTTGTGCTTCAGTGAGATTCAGATAGCTGACATCGGCATAGTCGAGAATTGGGAGGAGAAGTGCTTGTGCAAGTGCAGCCCTAGTTGCAGTTGGAAGAAAGTTTCACAGGGACCCGACAGAAGCAAATAACTTACGACTGACTTCTTGTATATGTGGACCCCAAGATTTAGTATTATCTATATAGATACCTAAATTTTTGACAACAGTACTGATATCAAGTATGGTGCCATCGAATTGAATTAAGGGCAATTGTGTCCAGTTAATTCTTGAGACCAACCCAGGGCTACCAATTACACATACCTGCGTCTTTCCAGGATTAACTTTGAGTTCGTAACTATGACTCCATTCGCCAATGCGCGATAGGTCAGCATTGATTTTGTTGAATGCCACCGATAAAATAATAAATGGAGCTTGTGTATATATTTGAAAATCATCTGCATAAAGGTGGTAGAACGAACTTAATTGATTAGAGATGGAGTTTATAAAAACAGCGAAGATTAAAGGAGATAAAACGCCACCCTGCGGTACACCAGCAGGAATACTGCACCAGGAAGACACCGAGTCTTCAATGCAAATACGCTGCCGGCGACCAGACAGGGAACTATGAAACCAATCAATTGTCTTTGGAGATATGTAAAGAGACCGCAGGATACTTCGGAAATCCGAGTCATTTTTTAATACGAGTTCTGACGCGGCCTTAACGCGGCAGAAACGTCTCGCAATATCAACGCTACGTTTGGAGAGGAGACTGCTAATGAACGCACTATCCATTTTTGGTTTAAACACTTTCGTAATGGAAACTTCGACTTTAAGAACAAATCGCCTGGAAGACCGCTCACACACATGCAAACTACCAAGGAATTAGCGGAATTTTTTAACGTTACCCTACCTACAGTATTGACTCATTTGCATCAAATCAATAAGTTATAAATGGATGCCTCATGATATGACTGATCTGCAGAAAGAAATGCGTGTTGAAACTTGTATTGCCTTGTTGCGTATATTTGGAAATATACAAGTATGCTCATGCAGAAATATATATGTCCGATTGGCAGCAATAGGCTTGCTGCCTATTACGAAATATGGACTAAAATATTGACATTTTATCATGCCGTTATTTATTTCTTTGACTTAATGCAAGTTTGTACATCGGAGGACTTAATGCCCAGGGCAAAGTTATCACGGAACCCTCTCATACCGACGCATGTGATCACGGAGAAAGGATGCTTCGGTGATATCCTGTGTCTGATCCACGAGGAGCCAATGCCTGAGTGCCAGCACCGCAATGGTTGGACCCTAGACGCGGTGCTCCACACGCTGGCAGAATACCCGGCATGGGTGAAGCAAAGGTGTGAACTAGTGACGGTCATAAGAGTGGGAATTCTCTCGCTCAGTAACATGATTGCTGCCATGGTACAGAGCAAAGGGGCGTAGAACGCTGCTGTCTCCTACTACGAGCAAGTTATACTTGCGAGCAAGACCGGGAGCGCAGGCCTGGGGGTGGCAGGTGAGGCCATCTATAACCCTAGCAGAAGCAGACCGGGGTGGGTAACGACGCGACGTACTACTTGGCGAGCACGCCCCTCGGGAGCAGGAAGGGAACATCGGGGTTCCTGCACAGGAGAGTCATCTATTAGCCGTAGATGGCCCGAGGTACGTCCGGGTGCTAGGGCTTTCCTTTCTAGGGTATTCCTGGCTACTGGAACCTGGAGACGGCCTGCGGTTTATGGTCGGTTCGAGTCTGACATAACCACCCCATTGGGTGGTATCCGAGGAGAGCTCAGCACAGAAAAAAAAGACATTCTCTTCCAGTCAACCTTTGGGTGGTGTAGAAATTTGGTAAGGTAGGTGCACAGAGATTACGTCATAATATGATATGTCTGATCATCCAAAAAAAAGTAAGTGATTCCCTGTAAATAATATATATTTACATTGAATCACTTACTTTTCTATGGCATTATCAGCATCAAGATATGTTATACTGCACTTCAATTAAGAAGAGCACCTCTCTTCAGTCTACGCCGCAATCGTTCTGAGACACTAGGTACTTCATCATAGCACTGCACGTAATCCCTACTCACTGGGATCAGCAGAATATAGTTTCGACTCTCTTGAACTAATGGCACTATACACTCTACATCATAGAGTTAACAGCTCATCTCTCATACAGATCAAAATATTGCCTCCCTTTGTTTATGAGGGATATAACGGTCTTTCTTGTACACAGGTATCAAGCTAGTAAACCGGTAAGCTTATATTATAGTATGCAATTTCATTAGTCATACTAGATGGAATTGTGCAATGATAACATATTTTTATCAAATCACTTAATATACGTAATTATTTTTGAAATGTGGCATCAAATATTAATTCATGATAATGATAAAATAATGTTAGATTAGCAGGAGGCTCCTAATAATTTTTTCATTTAATATTTTTAGCTAACATTAGTTATTATTTTATAATATTGTTATAACTGTATCAGCAACGGATTATGGGTACATTATCGAATCATTAATAATAAGATTAATTTTCTCTATACAAAAGAAATGTGTAATCTTATATTTTATCGTGCGCGACGCGACGCAATTAGGCTTACTGGGAACGCCCCTACATAGATAATATGTATGTATCTATGTAATAATACGGTGAGTTATAGGTGTTAATGCGAACATTATCTTTTGAAAACACTATTTCTACGTATACGGAGAATGTTAAAAAAATAACGGTATACAAAAACATTATTTTAATAAAATCTGATTTAATTAATTAGCCGAAAAGGTACAATAAAATTAAAGGTCTCAAGGTACGAGTATGTTGTTTTCTGCTGTTAGTTTTGAAAATGAGGAAATAAGTAGCAAAATAATACATAAAAACGGCGTGAGGGATCTATGGACCCCGGTCGGAACGAAGTTCCTTTCGCTTTGTGATATTGTATCTCATATACCATATTATATTTTCATTAGGCATTTGATTAAGAATAGGTAAGTTCTAGTTACTAGGTAAAGTTTTTGATTTAATTAGTTAGAAAAAGTCGCTCATTTTTTAATCATGTAAATGATTCACTTTATTTTTCGCTTTGTAGTATTTGTTTGATTTTTACTTATCAATTCCCTGTTTTCATAATTTGGCTGAATGGCATCAGTTTGCTAAAATCTGTCTTTTACATTTGGATTTTTATTTAGAAATTTTGATTCGGATCTGTTCAAAGTAATATAACTGTAATTATATCGATATTCACGATAAATATAAAAATAAACAAAAACTAAAAAAAAATTGAAAATCACTATAATCGCAAAACAGTATAAACCATGAAGCACGAAAAATAATGTGTACAAGCATTATTTATAGAGGTTACAACTTCAAATATATCTATTCATCTTTACGATATTTTTGTAGAAATCTTGCCAGTTATATCATTATAAATCATCTCCGAAACCATAGTAGATAAAAGAAGTGAGTAAAAATGAGAGAAAAAATTTAGTCTTTGTCTAAATATTTCTATGTAAAAATCACAAAAAGCGTACAGCTCGACTTAAATCACTTATTACAGGAGGCACAGATTTGTATATCTGATTTTTAACTATATATTTCACAGATTTTTAAAATGGATGAGCTTAGTACAAATACTTCTCACAGAATCCTTAGGATCTTTCTTCCTTATCTTCTCACAGCCTTCTATGGGTTTTCGTAATATGGAGATTGTCCTTTGTGAAGTGTCTGAGCATATCACACCATTTTGGTAGAAAAATCCAAAAAAAATCCTAGGTCAGACCAAATGTTTGTAATATCTTCTTAAATATTCATTTTAGTGATTTGCTGTAAAGAGCTATTTTAATCTGCATTTAATGCACAACGTATCCAATTTATTTTGGAATAATAATGTATTCTTTAAAATAGCTTTGTAAATAAGCCAAATTGTTTTTGTAAAATTTAGAAGTTAAAGTTAATGATTACTGTGGTTTATCCTCAGGAGATAAACACATGCCTTTTTGTAGATCTTTTTAAAATATACAATTTCATAGTACATTTTTTTGGTCTATCTCGTAAGGTTTCACCAGAGTTTGCAACGTAAGTTCACAAAAACATGTTTTTTATGACAAATCTTCAAATCTTTTTCGAATTTTCTCTACTATAATATGCATGCATTATACATGTAAATCTTCCTCTTGAATCACTCTCTCTATGGGCCAAATCTGTTGCTTAGTTTAAAAGATCTAAAGAAGTGCGTGCATACTATGACAAAAAGTGTCGGAAAAAGTCTTGTTATATGTTTTCCGGTCTAGCTCCCACCCGCTCAGAGCATGTAACTCTCGATAAGGAACTTCGTTCCAAAAAATTCATAATTATCACGACAAATCGTTAGAAACGTGATGTATCAGAGCAAAACTATGTAAAGAATATTATCTAATCTGCGTCCGAGGACAGCGTATTACGGGTCCGGCAGATATAAACAGGTACTTAAAGTTATACAGATATTGTGATTAACAAAAAACATTGACGCTTGTTTATTCTTTTGTTTTAAAAAAGATTTTAATTTAATTTAATTTAATCTTCAAAACATCATTTACAATTACAGCCACAGGCACAGTTAGCTACTAATAAGGATATATTTTCTTTTTAAATTCACTCCCAAAACCTTTGATAGGTAAGATAGAATGTTGACGCTCTATACCAACGTAGTCGTTAATTGCGATATTCTTTCAATGGTGGTTGTACTCTTCAATATTCATGCCCAATATCTTAAAAATTCTAAACCTTGTCAATCCTAATGTCAAGTAAGAGTGGTTTTGAGATGTGAGTGTATACTATAGTAATTAAGAATGACTTCAGTCTAGTAAAAAGTACGAACATAAAAAGCATCACACTCTATAGGTATAGTTTGATGCTCGGTACACAAAACGGTATGACATATTTGCTAATTGATTTCAACACTGACCATAGCTGGAGAGGAGAACTTTTAAAGGGGGTTTTCTCTACACATCTATACTGTCGTTCAATTACATTATTATTCTCGTACAATTAAGGCCTATAAAACAAAGTAGGAAAAACTTTTTAACTTATATCAAACGATAAGTATAAATTAAATGAGCACTACAGAATGTCACAATAGCGGCTTATTACTTAGATGTCGATGGTGAATCAATGCGATTTATCTACTCGTTATATTGTTCGGACACACCATAATGACCTTGAAAATGTAGCTTTTAATGACGTTATAATCATTTCAATTGAAATATCTAAATGCTTCCTGATCCTCAACAAGAAAGTGATATCATAAATAACCTTTAGACCGCAACAACTATATTAGATACTAGTGATGTAGTGTAATGATCAGCTTCATAGTCTATCTAGGTAATCTAAATTTTCAGCTTGCCATTACGGTTGAAAATATTTGCCCAAACATGACTCGAATAATACCTACAAAGAGTTTAATGATATTGTTATCACGATATTTCCGTAGATATGAATCCATAGATATTGTAATCATCATCAAATTAATGATATTTATCAACACTTTATTTAGTTCTATGTTCATATATTTTGGAGCGTGACGTTTACCGCCCTTTTGATCTACAAATTGTGTCCAATAAGTCTTATATTAGTTTGTTCATTATACGAGTAAAACTAATGTGCAACTACTGAGTGAAAACTAGAAAAAGTGTGGTTTTTTACACTCATCGGTAAGTAAAGGTTATTATTAATAGGTATATTTTATATGCATACTTTTCTAATAGTCCAGTCAATGAAAGCTTAACCTTGCCATTTTGAGTTGATGACCTGCAACCAACGCAAAAATTTCCGTAAGGGTCCGTAGATTAATATACTAAAATTGCAGGGTGCTGCATTGACGACAAAGGGTGCAAAAAAATTGTAAAATAGTGCAAAAACGACTTTTTCGTCAATATTTCGCGACTGACTGGGAAAATAGAAAAAAATCCTAGCACAAAGTTGTAGAAAATTAAATTTCCTACAAAAATGGTATCAACATATTTTCGCGTATCTCCCCTAGTTTTTGCACAAAATGCATTTAAAAGTGCATTCTTTTTTTTTTTAATATATTGGTAATCATTTTTTTCCATTTTAAAACGATCCTACACGCTTCATTGGGATTAAATTAATATATTTCGGGCATATTTTTTTTATTTATTCCTTTTTTCATATAATAATGTTGACAAAAAAAATATGTCAAAAAGAGAGAAAAATATATATCGCGCTCTCTCTCCGCCAGTGATGTAGTGGAGTAAATGTCCCCCTGAAATGAAATTTATAATAGGTCAGGTAAATGGATAGGTGATGCATACTGCAAATATACGTTTTAAACGCAAATTTCGATAAAATAAAAAAAGGTAATTTTTTTTTTTGTCAAAATTATTATATGAAAAAAGGAATGAATAAATAAAAAATGCCCGAAACATATTAATTAAATCCCAATGAAGCATGTAAGATCGTTTTAAAATGGAAAAAAATGATTAACAATATAAAAAAAATATTTAAATTTTGCACCTTTACTCGTAAATGCATTTTGTGCAAAAACTATGGGAGATACGCGAAAATACGTTGATACCTTTTTTGTAGGCAATTTAATTTTCTATAACTTTTTTTCTATTTTCCCAGCCAGTCGCGAGATATTGACGAAAAAGTCGTTTTTGAACCATTTTGCAATTTTTTTGCACCCTTTTGCCGTCAATGCAGCACCCTGCAATTTTAATATATTAATCTACAAACCCTTACGGAAATTTTCGCGTTGGTTGCAGGTCATCAACTTAAAATGGCAAAGTTAAGCTTTCATTGACTGGACTATAACCTATTTCATTATTATTGGTTGTTAATTTACAGGCATGTCAGCTTTTAATTGTGAAACAGTTTTTCGCAATCGGACGATATGAAAATGGGAATTCTTTTCTTCTTTATTTTATTAATTAGTTTCGGCCTCAGTACGAGTAACCGTAAGTTATTTTCACTATCAGTTGGTATCGGTTAAGAAAATTTCAATCTATTTGCATTATTACATTCAGTCTGTTGCTTTCATTTGATTCGATTCAATAAGTGTTTTAACTTTGCTTTAACTTTTTTGTAATCTGTAATGAAATTGATAGTCATCAATTTTAGGTTTAGTAATGTTTGAGTTTAAAATATGTGAATGTTTGTTTTGCTACCAAGCACGTTATGTGCTCTGTTATGTGTTTTAATTTTCTTTTATTTTTATAGAATGCTCGATTGGAGGTGCTAGTGCAGATTTTAAGAATATATTTGACACATCCAGGGGCGTCATCTTTAGCAGAACTACAAATAACTTACAGGGTAAGTATTCAAACACTTCACAGTAAATAACATTAAATACACTAGCCGCGTAGACATCTACGAGTATTAAAGTTTGTAGTGTGTATGCCTTTCTTTAAAAAATCCTATTGAATAGAGAAGCGTAAGGTTAACGGGATATGTATTTTATGTATTTAAAATGCCATAACAATGTATTGCTGAGGTTTTCTTTTACATACTAGTGAGTATTTAATTCAGGAACGCCAAAAATCTTTGTTCGATCACAAGTTCCGTTTTTTTTATTTACGCTAGTCATTTTGGAATCAGGTATCTCCAATTATTTTTTTCTTCTATGTTTTTATTTTTATAACAGAATCATTATATGTTTTTGAAAACACTTTATTAGCACTTAATTATTAATCATCATATACCTGATTTCGATAGCATTTTACCTTTTGGAAGACCTGATTTGTACATTTGCTTTGTTCCAGTGTTACACTTTTATTGTTTTTATATCTAGTATCTAATTCTTTGTACTTGCAGCACTTAGTTTCTGACAATTCATATTAATTCTAAACTCATTATTGGCACTGCACACACACTGGCACAAATTCAATAGTCCGGTGCAGTGAAAGTTTTTGAGCACCTAATTTTTAATCTTGGCACTTTTTACATTAGTACCTAAAAAGCCCCTAATTTTGGCATTTTATAAAGGCAAATTCCTGACTTTGCGTTGCTGGCGTCACAGAGCTCAAAACTTTCAGTAGAGAACTCGCGAAGTCACTACAGTGAATTGTTGTACCGTTACGAACTAGATTCGGTACGTCATGAAATACAGTAAACTAAATGAGTCTAGCTCCGCTTGTAACGTGACACGAACACAAGAAATTTACTGTTTTTGGGAGACACAAACACAAAAATAAGATAATGAAAACAAAATGAAGAATTATCAATGATAAGATACAACGAAAAAGAAACTAATAGAAGAAACATGTTAATAAGAATTTGCATTCAATAAAACTTGAAACGAAACTTAGAAATTTAAAAGAAATCGATTACATAGCTATAAATATCATAAAAAGTAATATACTAGGGGTCAGCAAATATATCAATATAAATGTCAGATGGGATAAGAACATAAATAATAAGAAATTTTTATCCAATATACAAAAAGAAGAAAGGGTACTAGTTCCGACCCCAGAAACATGAAAATTAGGGAAAGTAGTGGTCGATGCCATCAAGCCGAAATTTGGCTTAAAATTGAACTCTAGATAAACTGAAAAAAAAAACTCTAGATAAACTGAGATACGCTTCATACTTTTGTTTTGCAAAACAGTTCGAAAATCGGCCACTTTTTTGGTTTCCGACAGTTATTTCTAAAAGTATTGAATTGGTTTTACCGAAAAATGTTGAAAGTTGTTCAAGGGACAATTTTACACAGTTATTAATGATTTAAAAAAATAAACAAAAGATTTTTATTGTTGATTTTTGGCCCTGAAACCTGGAATTGAAAAAACGAAAAGTTGTGGATATTGTTATTATTAAGTCCCCCTTTTTTTTGTTTTTGTGCGGAAATCCCCTCGGATACCACTTACCGGTGGCAATGTTGGACTGGAACCGACTAAAACCGCTCGCCGTCTCAGGTACCAGTAGTTGGGGAACCAGGTGTACCCTAGAAAAGAAATCCCTGGTGCCCCGACGCACCTCGGGCCATCTACGGCGGGTAGACGACCCCCCCTGTGTGGGAACCCCCATGTTCCCTCTATGCTCCCGGAAGCCAGTTATGGTCCTGATGGCCAGCACTCGCTGCGGTCGTCGCAGTAGTGCGACGTTGCTGGCCTTACTGGGGCCCCATAAAGGGCCATGGACCGCGCAACCCCCGAGTAGAATCTCCTGCAGGAGTCATCGGGTCCCTTCATGTTGGGCAGCAGCCGCGCCAATGCACGCGCCAACCATACCAACTTGGGGACTAGACCTCGGAAACGATGTCCGAAGTCCCAAACAAAGTCCCCCTAGTCCGACTCCGAAATTTCAAATTGGCGGCCTACTGCAAAATTGTTAACTAAAAAATTAAATAAGCAATAACTTGTGTCGCAGCAGTCAGATCCGAACAAATTTTGCAATCTGTAGGTACTAATAAGTCATTTAATCAGTCCAAAATTTATTTTTATTCATAAACAAAATTGATTTTGTAAAAAAAGTAAAAACTTACGTTCGTATCTTCGCAAATTTTGCACTTAGAGATTTATAATAAATTGCATGTATTTGCGCTTATTTTTGCATGAATTTATTTTTAATTTAATTTCATCTTCATCATCAATAACTTGTTAGTGTAGTTAGGCAGCGAAAGAGCTAAGAAATCAACCTTAATTAATTTCTCAGGGAAATTTTGAGGGGTGGACCTGTGGACTAACTCGTGAAATGCAAAGAATCGAATCAGATAAAATGAATTAATAAATAATGAAAATTCGTTTGAATAATTAAAAATTAGCTTTGTATTATAAAGTTTCGTAAAACTCCAACAATGTCAAAAATATATATAACTAGCGACCCGTCTTGTCTTCGCACGGGTTCAGTAAAGGTTTGCTCTACATTATATGAACAACGTATTAAATTTATTTAATTAAATAAATAATAAGACTGTATTGTTAAAATAGCATTGTAAATAACCTATTCACATCACATCATCATCACATTAACAACCTATAATAGTCCACCGCTGGACATCGGCCTCTCCTTAGAAAGGAGGTTTAAATAACCTTTTACATTTGTGTAAAATGCTAGAGATATAAATGCTTACTGTGGGTTATCCTTGGCAGGTAGATATATACTATTGGCGACTTTTTTGTAGATCTTTTTAAAATATACCATTCCGTAGTTTATTCTTTTGATCTATCATGCAAGGTTTTGCAATATAAGCGTACAAAACATCACACTAAGCCACTGAAATAATAATGTAGTTACAAGTTACTCATTTCTGTTACAGGTATCGAAAGTTATGCATTTAGTCAGCAATTAAATTATGGACCTTACTTTAGTCTCACTCTGGTCGATTCCCATTTTACAATTGAGACGACCGATGCTTTTGAATACTACGAAGAGAATGAAACTTTGCTCTCGGTAGCAATCACAGCTACATTCAGTTGTTTGAATGGCCCTAGTGAATTTTTTGTAAGTATCAATTTATTTCCCTTTTTAAAATATAATTAAATTTGTATGTAATTTAAATTTTAGGAGTAAGTAGATAAGTTGCGTTACAAACAAATACCCTTTTTTTATTTAGGAAGTTTTTTTTTAATTACTACGACCATTATTTTACTATGATTTTCGGCATTTATTATTTAACTATGATTTTCGGCAGCTATGATTTTATGAGCTCTTTTTCGTGGTTTCCGTGAGAATCTAATATAGTTATACCATGTTTTTCAGATGTTAATAATAACCATAACAGATACCAACAACAATGCGCCACAGTTTCTACCATCTGATGAGTTCCATTATACTGTACCAACACCATTTCCAGCAGGATTAACAATCACAGGGTGTTTTGATGGCATTACTGTAAGGGACATTGATCTCACAACTCAGAGGATAGACTTCGAAATAGAAGAAAATCCTTATTTTGAAATTGTTTATGATGAAAAATCTTCAACTACAAAAAGAGAATTCGTAGGAATTTTGCGAAGCACAACCTTTATAAGAACTCTGTTAGAACCTATCACTTTGAAAATCACTGCTACGGTAAGTTCTTTCTATTTCGAGAACCTTTAAAAGAAATTATTAAACTTTAGTATCGCTTATTAACAGCTTTTAACACTGCGAGACATACATTCTCCATTACACCTTAAAAAATATATACATAATGTACTGGTAAATGAAACTTAACCAAAAACAGAAGGGAATGTGTCTGAAGTGTTAATGAAAGTACAACAGTTGAAGTGTATCAATGTCATGTACATTGATACATTTATAATGAAATAAATGTTAAAAATTTAAGAAAAGAAGTGTGTCTATCCATGTTGCCGTCAGTAAAGGAGAAATGGTAAACCCCTTTATAAAATTCAGGACAAAAAGTGATATTTTTATAGTATGAAATGAAATTTACTTATGGTTATATTCATTTAAACCAAAATCAAAAAGAAATAATGTTCACAAATAAAATTGATAGACTTTTAATTGTGTTATGCTGATCCTGATAGATTTTAAAAAAGGGGTGATGTTTATTTTTTGATAAAATCATTACGGGTAACTTTCAGTACACAATAGCATTATTAAAAAACCCAAGACACAAAAAAAAGTCTTTAAAAAACAACAACTGCTCATTAAGACTGTTCTAATAAGCTCAATCATATATAATGTAATTTTCTGAGGAGTTGACTATCCCGCAAACTACTTGATGCAGCAGCAAGTTCCAGGTTACCAGGTAGTTCCAGGTTAGGTTAGGTAAAGTAAGAGTATACCAAATTTCAGATCAATCAGACCTGTGGATGTTAGTGAGATCCCTTCATCACTTAGAAAATAGGCTGACGATCTTCAAAATTTATAGCTAAGAACCATCTCGATCAGATCGACTTTCGAACAAAAAAATCCGCACCAAAATTGGTCCATCCAAATCTAATAAAATACTTATATTGTATTCATAGACGACCGAATGGCGTAGTGGTTTGTGTAACGGACTGCTATTCCAAAGGTCGCGGGTTCGATTCCCGCTCAAGTCAAACATTTGTGTGCATGAACATTTAATGTTTGATTTGGTGTGGGTGTTTCTATGTATAATAAGTATGTATTTACAAAAAAAAAAAGTATATATGTATTTATATCAGTTATCTAGTACCCATAGTACAAGCTCTGCTTAGTTTGGGACTAGATGGCGTTGTGTGAATGTGGTAGAATATTATTATTATATTATTATTATTATAGATACCTACTCGTAGGACACAAAAAGGAAATACTGAATGTAAACTTAATTGTAACTTAACATTACAGTTGAAGTGTAAAATGTGATTTCATTAAACAAAATTATTTTGCGTATAAATGAAAAGCAAGAAACCTTTTTGCTCACATGTAATATTGACTGCACGGATGTGCACTACGGTTTAAGCGGTCACGTCTTCTTACAGCACTGAGTGTTTTGGGTTCCATCCCCACATGGGCTAACACTTTGTGAGGTCCGCAAATAATTGTTCTGAGTATGGGTGTTCTTTGTGTCCGTATCATAGATGTGTGTATAGTCCCCCGTGACACAGGATGTATTCCTAATGCGGGAGCTGTTATTTTAAGAATAAGAATGAATATTAGAACTTCCTTGAACGCTTACAGGATGTCGACCTGACCGGCGATCCCCCACTAACTGCAGTTGCTACAGTTACTTTTAAAGGTGAAACAACGTTCACCTTACCTGAAGATCCTGTATTCTCTCATCCGTTTTATTTTGCTAATTACACAATGGACCATCAAGTTATTCTTTTAGAACCGATTTCTCTTCAAAGTGGCTTCCACAAACTTGTGAATTTTACTTTACATGGAGGTAAGATAGTTCAAAGAAATAAAAGTTACACTTCTGAATTATATTTCCAAATTTAAGCACTGAATATTAAAGCTGATGAAAGCAAGTTTAAAAATAATTTAAAATTTGAAGCCTTTTTTTGTGGAGACGAGTGGAAAATCCGTTCGGATCACCGGCTCCTTGGGGAGTTGGAGTGGTATAGCAGGTGTTATGTAAGACTATGTGGTGTTTCCACTAAAACCACCCCGACGGCCGAACTCAGGTGTACTCCGAGGAGGACCCGGACCATGTTATTTCAGGTACGACGAGATACGATAGGTAATCCTATTGTATATGGGTTTCGGAGTCGCGGAGATAAACCCGCAAATAGAGGGGGGCTACTGGTGATAAAGCAGTGCCTCCTTAATCGCCCACCACGGGAGGGAATTAAAGGCGTTGACTATGTGAAGACTGACAGCCAACGCCAATACCCCTCTTCCGACAACATCTTCTGACAAAAAGTGGAAGCATTCGATCGCGTCGAGCGTCCCTATCTGAAGCCAAACTGGTTGTCTGATAAGTCGGGGCCCACTCGGTACAGGTGCTGGTTGATACGGGCAGCAATAACTCTTTCAAGGAGTTTTGCCGCCCTGTCAGCAGCAGCAGCAGGCATATTGGTCGGAACGCCGAGGGAGAATCTGCCAGGAACACGGAAACTGCTTTCAAGGCATTTTTTGACCTTCCTTTTTTTTGTGTATTTTATAAATATAAACTTTTAATACTGAATTCAAATATTTCATTCGTGTTAAATGGAAATACATAAATCAATAAAACTAGTCAATTTCAGTTTACTAATGAAATTTTTATCTTTTTATATTTCACAGACTTCTCTGATAATTTTGAGTTGGTCGTAACTGGGGACCAAGTAACAATTCAAAATCGAATTCCACTTGAAACATATATTTTGCGAGAAACTCAAATTATCCTTGTAATAAGGGCAGATAGAGAAGAAACTACGGGTGACAGAGCTACTATCATCCTACAATTACCCGAAGGTAACAAAAAAATTACATGTTTTTTTTCTTGTAACCTTAGTTTTCAACTATTACTTATTTAATAAATTCCTTAGAGCAAAGTCAGCAACTTACTACCGTAATACTATGCACTTTGTAAATTACACCACCACTGCTAGACTTTTCGATGGTGAAGGAGATAAGCGACAAAGTGTTTTTTCAATTTTGTATTGTACGGAGGTCAGCGTATTTAAGTTATGGCGACTTCCACATCATACAACGAAATAGAAACATACTACAGCGCCATCTAACGAAGACACACCGAACTACGGAATAACAACTGAATGAGAATTGCTAATCCTGTATCGCGATATGAAGAATTCTCTCGCTGATTAGCATATATACAACTTTCCAACACCAATCGTTGGCCCGCGGCCCGCCAGGCATGATCACCTCGTATGATCGGAAGATTCTCCCTTTGTGTTTGAGGAACACGACATATATTCCTCAACAAATTAAGCTAGGGCAGATGTTCCAGTACCTAGGGTTTTTCTGACTAGGATACACCAGTTTCAACAAAAACAAGGGGGAGATATTACAATGAAGAGCCAAAAAAACAAAACTACCATTCACGTACGTTCCACAGTGATACAGTAATAGAAAAATAAATGGAATTAAGTGTAATTTGTACACAAAATAGATACAGAATACACTATATGTGACTAATTTATCTACAAAATTAATGGACAAAAAATGTTGTTTAATGAACTACTTTTACCAACGGTTCATTATAATTACTATTTTTTATTTTATTTTATTTGCCAGCAATAGAAGCGAGGGTCTGAATCAAAAATGTCTTAAATGTTAAAACATAGGCAACATAGCATTCATTACTCAGCAAACACTTTTAACCACCAATGGTACTTTCACCGCAAACCATTCAATTACAGAGAAATTTTACAGATACTGCACTGAAGCTTCTAACACGACAAAATCTCACGACATTTACGTAAAACAAACGCTTTGAAAGTACCTGACGGAGTAGAAAATCCCTTTGGATCTCCTGCTCCTTGTGGGCTCAGGAGCCAGGAGTATGTGGTAATTCCACTAAAAACCACCCTGACGGACAGACTCGGGCGTCCTACTCTGGGAGGACTCGGATCATGTGATTTCAGGTCACCCCCGAAACAAACCACGTCTAATCAGGCCCTATCTATTGCGTCTTAAAGCGACCTCAACCATCCTATCCCCTACCCGAGGTCCCTACTCTCTGGCGGCCCGCGGCCCGGTCGACGGCTGGTATAGCCGCCGACGTCCTCTACGCCCGAGATCGGTCTCGGCCTCTCCGCCTCTCCCGATACCGGCTTTGAAAGTACCTACATGTGGTTCTAAAAATATCATTCTAATAAACATTTTCATCTGTCATTATTATTTTCTTAGTTTTGTATACCCGCGGTAGGTAAGTAAGTGTAAGTTAATGTAAGTTTAAATTATTTTAAAATTACATAGTACTCGTATCTGTATGATAGTAAATAATAACGTAAACCACAGTCTGTATATCGGCAATGCATTAATATATATCGGCAATGCATTAATATACTTTTATTTTCAGTTATGGTAAGTATCCCCGGCAGCTAAAAGTTTAGTACAATGTACTATTGTACTAAACTTTTAATAAATGTTATCCACCTTAGTACCTACGTCTCTATTCCCTCAAAACCTAGCTTGAATTGTAACGAAGAAGAAGAACATATTATTGGGTTATTATGCATGCATATGTTTCAGTGTATATTATTTTTATCACCATTACGTCAGCGAATTTCTAACTATTAAAGCAGTTTTCAAGCAGGAGCTGTATGCGTGAAGGCTGGGAGCGATCTTAGTGGCGTACACTTGGAGAGACCTTAGTCCAGCAGTGGACTACGATAGGCTGATGATGAAGACAGTATTTGTGAAATAGGGAATTGATTAGGTTATACAGACAAATACTCAAAAAACAGAAGAATCTCTATGTTAGAGTTGTTCTAGATACTTTATCTTTGCCAAAGAATTTCTAATGGTGCCGTTTCGTTGCGTATTAAGTAGTCATAATTGGACAATGAATGAGACTCATACGAGGAATAAAAAGTTGCCGAACTATAACGACATTGAACGTCTGGTATATGTGAAACGTGGAATGCAATAAGGGGGGAAAGCGAGCTACTTTTATTAATGGTCTTTGAGCGCCTTCTAGTTTTATTCAAACTATTTTGACGGCACCTTCCCAAAATGTGACACAGTGAGTCAGCACAAAAGCACGCGGCTGCTTGATACAGAGGTGCAGGGGAGAAGATATTTATATACATATATTTGACGGTTTTGGTTTGTTATACAGCAATTCATTAATTCACTATTACATACTAATTCTCAAGTTCATCTTACCTTAAAGTTTTATTCTTTTTTAAACTCGAAATCTTTATGTTAATGATTATAAAAGAATATCATACAGAAATTTCTCTGTACAACGTCAATGTTAACACAAATAAGTTGACAAAAACATTAAGCTAAAAAGTTACAAAGTTAATTTATTAACTTACAAGGTTCATTTTCAGGAATCTCACTGCAATTCGAACAGCCTAATTATCGGGGAACAATTAAAAACAACATCCTACAAATCGCTGTGCTATCTCTGTTACAAGGCTACGAAGGAGAAGTTGTTAATACTGAAGTTCTTGGCGGTATGTGACCACATATTATATTAAAGTTTGTATGATCTGCAATTATTTGTTTCGGAATTTGGGTGTTTTCTATGTATACTATGTATTTATAACTAAAAAAAAATATGTAAGTATTCTATCAGTCAATCTAGTTTTCATAGTACAAGCTGTGCTTATTTTGATGTCCAAAACATTATTAATTATTAATTACAAACAAATAAATGTTTGTCTGGCATATTACTATGACATAAGCACATCGTTAAAAATCAAGTAAGCTTTATAATAAGGCAGCATTTAACCTAACAAAATTATATAGGCTTGTCACCTGTTATGTAAGTACAGCCATTTACAGAACAGGTGACAAACCTTTTGCCGTTAACCGCCCGGTTAACATTACTGGTCTTCGACATGAGTGTTGCATGTAAGTGCAATCAACGTTTACTAACTCGTTGTACATTCTGTGATTCTTCCCTATTGACGATCCATTTTGATTGATACTACACAACTTAAAAAACAATATTTTTAAAACGTTAGTTAATATTTTTATATTATTTTTTTTTTCAGAACACTCGCAATTCTTTACTACAAGTATCCTAGGATTGAATTCAATACAACTGACAATGAACGGATTACCAGCTAGCGTGATAGCTGAAAACAAGATTATCTCCCTTGAAGTAGTGGCATCTAGTAATTTCAATAGTGCGAGTACTATAGTCATCCTGGAGATAATAAGGGACGACAACCCCCTATTCAGCTCGCCACTTTACACAGGATCGTATGAAACCGAATCTGGGCTGACCCTTGAGCCAATTATATTTACTCAAGGTTATGACGAAACCATCGTATCACTGTCTGGAGGTAATTTGATTAAGGTTTTACTTATTAGCTACTAATATTTTTGTATTCTTCTAATAAAAATAATATTCTTCATTTAGACATTTTTGTATGCGCGGTGCAGTTATACCACCTACAGCTGCAACTCGTATAGAATACCGACGAAATTTATCGTGTTGCTATTTTATATCTATATCGATAATATCAAAGGTGATTTTTTCTTTTTATTGCAGTAGAATAGTTACGTATTTAAATTATACGATAGTGTAGTACAGTATGGGTTACCTACTTTAATGTAACTTGTACTTTAATCCCTTTATTTTAGTCAATCTCAATTTTTTCACCATTTAAATATATTTTTTGTGTTCTTATTCGGTTTCTAATGAACACTCGAAAGTTTTTACGCTAAACGTTAGACGGTACTATGGATAACTGTTACGAACATAATAAAAATGTCCATTGAGCCTGAAGGGGCCCCAAGTAAAAGTGTGACAAAAAGATAAAAAAAAGGCCTTTGGCATTACAACAAGCTAACTAGCACCGTATATACTTACCTGTTTCTGTAGTTGCGTAGTCCTTTCAATAATATAGTAATATTATAGTTTCGCCATATCTATATGTACGTCCGACGCTTAGGCTAGAGACTTACGTTGTAATTTTGCTTGGGTAAAGCTATAGGTTAGCAAATATTCATCACCCTTGTCTTTTGCCTTTATTATAGTTAAGTTATCATATATCGGGAGTAGCGATGCGTCGTGTGAGTGTGTAAGAAACTAACGTACTCGCACTGTTACTGGCCAATAGGGAAGGTAATTAAGTTGCAAGTTAATTGGACACCTTGACGCCGCGCCGCAACGAACTTGGAGCTACATTCCTACACTTCGGAGTGGGTTGGATTTGTAGTGCAATGAATTGGAATATTTTAGTTATAGAATAACTAAAATATTCCATTTAATTGCACTACAGAAACAATGATGTTAAATCCTCGATTCTATAGATCTTATAGCCTCTGTTGATGATGATTTTCTATATAAGCTAACAAAGCTTTCCTTTGTTTAGATCATTCAAATTACTTTGAAGCGACACGTGAAGGGGCTCTTGTGACAATAAGGAACACAACTAGTATTCCGCCCTCAATATTCAACCAGCAACACATCTTGCTGACTTTGCACGCTACTAGACCTCTAACAGTGGGAGCGAGCACAGCTATAGTCATCACCCTCCCTGCAGGTAAATTACAAACACTAACAACGTTTTACTATATTAACAAAACATATAAGTTATTTTTCTGGACAATACACTAAATGTGATAAACGCCAGGTAACAAAAACGGAACACTTTATTTATGATCAGACTTTTTAATAACAATGACCTGAAATTTCTTAATGTATGTACTCATGATATAACAAAATCAAATCTTACAACCTAGAGGTGGTCAAATATAAGTATTAAACCTTTATAAAGTTCATCTTATATTGTAAATGTATGTAGATAAGATAACCTTTATCTTTTCAGGAGTCCAACTGGAATTCGAACACTCTAACTATCGTGGAACAATTAAGGACAACATCCTACAAGAGCTCGTGCTACCGCTGATACAAGGCTACGAAGGAGGGGTTGTTACTACTGAAGTTCTTGGCGGTATGTTACTACATACAAAAAAATTAACAAAATTATAATATTTTGCCACCACTTTACAATACCCTGCCGTTAATCGTTAGTGACCCTGACTGCTAAACCGGAGGTCGTGGGTTCGATTCCCACCCAGAACAAATATTTGTGTGATGAGCACGATCGTTTGTTCTGTTCTGGGTGTAAATTTATCTATATAATATGTATGTATTTAGAAATATATAAGTATGTTTATCAGCAGTCTGAGTATCCTTTATCAGCGAAACATTCTATTTTGCATCAACTTTATTGGTAATCAGTTCAAAAAATAATGATTATTTACTTCATCTCCAATTGATAAAAATCACGATAGCTATTACCGTTACAAAATAGCATTAAAGCTAATATTTGACCATATTTAATACGCCTTAACAAAGAAATTTGATGTTGAAAGAAAGTGTTACGAAAAACTTTAATACTCACAGTTTATATGACTTATCTTGAATTTTCCTGTGCCTGATACCTAGAAACATATTTCTACGACATCGCGAACTACAAAATAATTATTGCTAAGAAGTTTTGATTAATATTTCATGCAGTAGTAAATTCAAAAGCGGTACTAACTTGTTGCCTATATTGAAATAGTTCCTCATTCTCAACCCATTTAAAATTACACGCATTTTTTTTCATATAATTTAAATTAAATAATTATTATTTTCAGAATACTCGCCATTCTTTACTACAAGTATCCAAGGAAATTTAATACAACTTACAATGAACGCATTACCTGCTAACGTGATAGCTGAAAACAACATTATCTCTCTTGAAGTTGCGGCGGCAAGTAGCTTTAGTAGGGCGAGAACTATAGTTATCCTGGAGATAATAAGAGAAGACAACGTAACCCCTGTATTCAGCTCGCCACTTTACACAGGATCATATGAAACCGAAACTGGACTCTCCCTTGAGCCAATTATATTTACCCAAGGTTATGATGAAACTGTCGTATTATCACTGTCTGGAGGTAATTTATCGTATGGTTTGCTTATTATTAGTGTGTATGTATTTTTCCAATTATACCTCATTCAGCTGCAAGTCGTATAGAATACTGACTACAATTATCGTATTTGTATATTATATTTTAACCATTGCATAAGATAAGCTACGTGTGAAAATTATATGCTAGTGAAGTGCCCTATGGATTACTTAACTGTTAATTCATTTATTTTAGCCATTTCAACTATATCACTAAATATTTTTGTCAAGGTTGTCATTCAGTTTCTATTAAACACTTAAAAGTTTTTGTACTTAAAGTTAGATTATACTAAGGATAATTAAAATAAAGGTTTAGTAGGCCTGAAATTACGTCATGTACATGACAAAAATACAACAAAAAATCTTTGACGACATCCGTACACGTCCAAAATAGTACACATTACAACAAGCTAGACTAGAACTATAAATAGATGTTTATGTAGTTGCGTAGTCCTTATTATATAGGTATACTATAATTTCACCATGTCTGTTTGTCCGTTCGAGCCTTAGGCTTGAGACTTACAGTAATAGTAAGCTGTAATTTTGCAAGGATAAAGCAAGAGCCACACTTCAATAAAGTTTTAATCTCTTTTTTCCTTATCCATAGTATAGGGTACCCTTAGATAGTTTTAATAAAAACAGTGTTCCGTGGAGTCTAGTGCACCCTTCCCTTTCTTTACAAGTTAAGTAATTTTCTTGAAAAATATGAAAAACAAATTATTGTAAAAGGATCGTTGCCTATGTTATGAAATATATCCACTTGATAAATTTCATACAAAATACAAATCCTTAGAAAAACATTAGGTATATACATGAAGTTATTGCTCGGCAAAATCGGTTATAATTAATAAACTACGAAACACTACTCTGCACGTAGACCGACTCGCACATGTCTGGGTTCATTGATGATTGTTGAACTTCTTTGACTTGTTAAGCTAATTATTATTATCACTGGATTTCAGAACGAAAATAAATAAATAACTGATAGCAATGATTAGGTCCTTACATATGAAATTAGCGTTTTGTAGTACTGACCACTTTGATTTAAAATATCTCCTCTATATAATATAATACCAAATTCAAATTTATTCATTCATTTAGCTGGTACATTTGAGTTTTGAAAACAATTATTCATTTGTTTTTTCCTCATTATTTTTTTCTTTGGCGTCACTTATTACCGCACAATGGAACACATGAAATATCGGTATATTTACGAGTACGAGTTCTACCGTGGCACCAGTGCTGCAGAAACAGCTCGATGGATTAATGATGTGTACGGCGCTGGTTTCGCAAAAGAAAGCACGGTTTTTGGTTTCAACGTTTTCGTTCTGGAAATTTCGACCTTCAGAACCAACCCCGTGGACGGCCGGAGACCAAAGTGGAAAATAAAGAATTAAAGGCTGTTGTGGAAGCGCATCCATCACAAAGCACTTCAGCGATAGCTGCAGGCTTCAGGGTAAGTGCTTAAGTTCAACGATGGGTACCTCATGAATTGAGTGAATCGAACTTGCAAACACGCGTCGATTGCTGTGTTACTTTGCTCAACCAACACAATAATGAAGGGATTTTAAATGGAATCATTACTTGTGACGAAAAGTGGATACTGTACGGTAATCGAAAGCGCTTGTCGCAATGGCTGAACCCTGGAGACCCACCCAAATCCTGCCCTAAACGAAAATTGACTGAGAAAAAGTTGCTTGTGAGTGTTTGGTGGACTAGCGCCGGAGTCGTTCACTACAGCTTGCTAAAATCTGGCCAAACGATTATGGCAGATATCTATGTCAGCAACTGCAAACCATGAAGGAAGAACTAGCTGCTAAACAACCGAGATTGGTCAATCGCTCCAGGCCACTGCTGCTTCACGACAACGCAAGACCACACACTGCACAACAAACAACTACTAAGTTAGATGAGCTACAATTGGAATGTCCACCGTACTCCCCGGACCCTGCTCCAACAGATTACCATTTTTTCCGGAATTTGGACAACTTCTTACACGTAAAAAAATTCAACTCCGATGCGGCAGTCCAAACCGCCTTCAAAGAGTTTATTGATTCTCGCCCCCATGGTTTTTTTAGTAAAGCGATCAACCTACCAACTACCTATGAGATGGCAAAAGTGCATAGATAACAACGGTGCATACTTTGATTAATTGATTATATATTTTACAAAACAAAAATTGGCCTTATATTCCACCCGTACAAAACGCCAATTTTATATGTCAGGACCTAATATTAAAACAAAAATCAGTGACCACGTTTGGAGTCATTTCTTTATAAGTAACTATTTATCTTAAGAGTGACTAATAATAATATTAAATTAACTAATTAATTTTCGAGGTCTTATTTGTTTACGTTTTTTTTCATTATAGTATAGTTACTATCTATCGGGAGATACGTCGCAGCGCGTGAGTGTGTATTAAACTAACCTGCTCGCGGATGTGTAACGTTGGAAATAACAACAAGAGTCTAATGATCGTATTTTATGGTCTATTGAACCTTTTCTATAATGCACATTTGAACAAATATTCAATTAGCAAAATATTCAGTTGCTGTAATATTCAAAATCTATAAGTTACGATTATTTTAATTTAGGAATTTCTACTTCATTATGCAATCATTTGGGTTAGATGATGTTAGTATTTCCTAATATTCAATTATTCTTTACAGGATTTTGGCTGAAAATTAGTAAATATGAAAATCAGGTTTTGTAAAAAAGCGTTATACAAGTTAAGAATTATATAAAATGAACGTTATACTAAATGTTATTAGAGCAAATTAAGGTTATTTGAAAAATAGTATAAAATGCCATGAAATTAGGTTATTTGTTTTTATATCATATGAAAATTCTATGATGTAAACGTTATTTCAAGTGATATTATACTATCTGTTATTTTGTCAAATATTACAAACCTATTGGTCGCATACGTGCTCGCCAATTGACACGACGACAGACAAAATTAATTTGACACATTGACGGCACGCCACACCATACTTGTAGCTTTATATCTGCAATGCGGAGGGGGCCTGACTGTTTAAAAGTAAAATATTCCAATCAGTTGCACTGCAAAAACACAATAACGTTTAAATAATAAACCAAATGGATTGTGTACATTTCTTCTGTCTGTCTAGGTGTAATTTATCCGTAATATTTGTGTATTTAGAAATTTACACGTATGTTTATCAGAACTTTGATTATCATACCAAAGGTAATACATAGTTTAAGATCAGACTGCCATGTGTGAGATGTCTAAAGTTATAATCACTATTATATGCTCTGTTGATAACTTTCTATTTTCTATATAAACCAACAAAGCTTTCCTTTGTCTAGATCATTCAAATTACTTTGAAGCTACACGTGAAGGAGCCATTGTGACAATAAGGAACACAACTAGTATTCCGCCCTCAATATTCAACCAACAACATATCTTGCTGACTTTGCACGCTACTAGACCTCTAACAGTGGGAGCGAGTACAGCTATAGTCATCACCCTCCCTGCAGGTAAATTACAATAACTAACAGCGTATCACAACAAGAACCAAGTTTTCATTATTTTATTATTATTATTTTTTATCAAAGTATCAGTAGTTAGGTAGTTAGGGAACATCTGTACCCTATACATCCACAGTCTGTGCCCAATTGAAACATTAATATATTTTACGTTTCAGTAAAGGTAAGTATCCTTCGAAGTACATGATACTAAACCATTAGCAAAAGTTATTCGGCACCTAAGTATCTATAATAAAATCTAATACATCCAGATCATTACATTCGTAGAAAGAAATGCGTGTAACCTTTCTGTTTACTTTGCCCTCAAAAGCTAGTATGGATGATAGAGTAGACGGACATACATATATATAAATCTGACCGCTCTGGTTTATTTTTACCCAATAATTAAGCCGTTCTCAAGTTCATCTAACGGTGAATATAACGTGTGTAGACAAGATAACCTATATCTTTTCAGGAGTCCAACTGGAATTCGAACAGTCTAACTATCGTGGAACAATTAAGAACAACATCCTACAAGATCTCGTGCTAACGCTGATACAAGGCTACGAAGGAGGGGTTGTTACTACTGAAGTTCTTGGTGGTATGTTACTACATGCTAAATTAATTACTAAAATTCTTCCGCAATTTTACACTGCCCTGCCGTAAATCATATACATGAGTATACCGTATTAGTGGCATATTCTGCCATTTCAGATTATTCACGTTGGTCATTACGAGTATAACGGTAGCTAACTAACAAAATTTAAGAAGATTAATGAGTTTGTATCAAGTTTATTGCTAATCTGTTCCAAAACTAACAATTATGTGGCTTCGTCCTCATCGCCAAAAATCACGATGACTTTTATCGTTATAAGAAATTAAATTATTTTGAAAATAAGTTTAAGTAATAGTATTTTATTTACTTCTTTACAGAATACTCGCAATTCTTTACTACAAGTAACCAAGGAAATTTAATCCAACTAACAATGAATGAATTACCTGCCAGCGTGATAGCTGAAAACAACATTATCTCTCTTGAAATTGTGGCGGCAAGTAGCTTTAGTAGGGCGAGAACTATAGTTATCCTGGAGATAATAAGAGAAGACAACGTAACCCCTGTATTCAGCTCGCCACTTTACACAGGATCATATGAAACCGAAACTGGACTGTCCCTTGAGCCAATTATATTTACCCAAGGCTATGATGAAACCATCGTATTATCACTGTCTGGAGGTAATTTATCGTATTGTTTGCTTATTATTAGTATTTATGTATACTTCCAATATCTAGCCTTGAAACATTTTTATATGCGCGTTGCAATTATACCTCATTCAGCTGCATGTCGAATAGAATACCGACTACAATTATCGTGTTTGCATATAATTCTTTCTCATTGCGGCAGAACAGCTACGTGTGTAAATTATATGCTAGTGAAGTGCGCTATGGATTACTTTAATGTTAATTCATTTATTTTAGCCATCTCAATTGTATCACTAAATATTTTTCTCAAGGTTGTCATACACTACTCCGCCGTCTCCTTCTGCGAGCAGATTATGCTTGCGAAGGAGATGGCGGAGCGAGACCGGGAGAGGTTCAGAACCCTCCCGGCTCGCCAGGCCCGAGACCGGGGCAGGTACTGCAGACGGTTTGGGCGCCGGAGGTCGCAGACCGACCTCCGTCCTCCATAAGCGCAGGCCTGAGGGTGACAGGTGAGGCCATCTGTCACTCTAGCAGAAGCAGGCCGGGGTGGGTAATAGCGCGACGTGATACGAAGTACGTGCGCCCTTCTGAGCAGTAAGGGAACATCCGGGTTCCAACACAGGAGGGGTCATCATAAGCCGTAGATGGCCTGAGGTACGTCGGAGTACTTGGGCTTTCCTTTCTAGGGCATACCTGGTGCCCCGGCTACTGGTACGTGGAGACGGCGTGCGGTTTTTGGTCGGTTCGAGTCCGACATAATCACCCACTGGGGGATGGTATCCGAGGGGTGTTCCGCACAGAAAAAAAAAAGGTTGTCATACAGTTTCTATAAAACACTTGAAAGCTTTTGCACTTAAAGTTAGATTATACTAAGGATAATAAAAATAAATGTTCAGTAGGCCTGAAATTATCTCATGTACAAAGGTGACAAAAAGACAATAAAATGACGACATCCGCAACAAAATAGTACACATTACAACAAGCTAGACTAGAACCATATATAGATGTTTATGTAGTTGCGTAGTCCTTATTATATAGTTATACTATAGTTTCACCATGTCTGTTTGTCCGTTCGAGGCTTAGGCTTGAGACTTATAGTCATAGTAAACTGTAATTTTGCAGGAATAAAGCAAGAGCTACACTTCAAAAAACTTCTAATCTCTTTTTTCCTTCTCCATAGTGTAGGGTACTCTTAGATAGATTTAATAAAAACCGTGTTTCTTGAAGTCTAGTGCACTCTTCCCTTTTTTCTTTACAAGTTAATTTAATACTTACTTTTTTTGCATTTTGATTTCGTTATAGTAAAGTTACTATTTATCGGGAGATGTGTCGCAGCGCGTGAGTGTGTATTAAACTAACCTGCTCGCGGATGTGTAACGTTGGAAATAATAACAAGAGTCTAATGATCGTATATTATGACCTAATTTCATTTAATATACTTTTTTTGATATAAAGATCAAATGATATAACGCATTATTGATATTATTTTATTTAATATAATTTCATATGATCTATTGAACATTTTCTATAATGCACATTTGAACAAATATTCAATAAGTAAAATATTCAGTTGCTCTAATATTCAAAATCTATAAATTACGATTAATTTAATTTAAGAATTTCTACTTTATTAGGCAATCATTTGGGTTAGATGATGTTAGAATTCCCTGATGTTTAATTATTCTTTATAGATTTTTGGATGAACATTAGTAACTTTGGAAATCAGGTAAACTGTCATTATTTAAAAAAAGCGTTTTACAAATAAAAATTTATATAATATGAACGTTATACTAAATTTAATTAGAGCAAATGAAGGTTAAATCAAATAAAGCATGAAATACCATTTAATTGGGTGATTTGTTTTTATATCATATGAAAATTGTATGATGTAAACGTTATTTTAAGTGATATTATACTATCTGTTATTTTGTCAAATATTACAAACCTATTGGTCGCATACGTGCTCGCCAATTGACACGACGACAGACAGAATTAATTTGACACATTGACGGCACGCCACACCATACTTGTAGCTTTATATCTACAATGCGGAGGGGGCCTGGCTATTTAAAAGTAAAATATTCCAATCAGTTGCACTGCAGACACACAATAACGTTTAAATAATAAACCAAATGGATTGTGTACATTTCTTCTGTGTCTGGGTGTAATTTATCCATAATATTTGTGTATTTAGAAATTTACAAGTATTTTTATCAGAACTTTGATTATCATACCAAAGGTAATACATAGTTTAAGATCAGACTGCCATGTGAGAGATGTCTAAATTTATAATTATTATCATATGCTCTGTTGATCACTTTCTATTTTCTATATAAACCAACAAAGCTTTCCTTTGTCTAGATCATTCAAATTATTTTGAAGCTACACGTGAAGGAGCCATTGTGACAATAAGGAACACAACTAGTATTCCGCCCTCAATATTCAACCAACAACACATCTTGCTGACTTTGCACGCTACTAGACCTCTAACAGTGGGAGCGAGTACAGCTATAGTCATCACCCTCCCTGCAGGTAAATTACAATAACTAACAACGTATCACAACAAGAACTAAGTATTAATTTTTTTATTATTATAATTTTTTATTATTTTTTAACAAAGTATCAGTAGTTAGGTAGTTAGGGAACATCTGTACCCTATACATCCACAGTCTGTGCCCAATTGAAACATTAATATATTTTACGTTTCAGTAAAGGTAAGTATCCTTCGAAGTACATGATACTAAACCATTAGCAAAAGTTATTCGGCACCTAAGTACCTATAATAAAATCTAATACATCCAGATCATTACATTCGTAGAAAGGAATGCGTGTAACCTTTCTGTTTACTTTGCCCTCAAAAGCTAGTATGGATGATAGAGTAGACGGACATACATATATAGAAATCTGACCGCTCTGGTTTATTTTTACCAAATAATTAAGCCGTTCTCAAGTTCATCTAACGGTGAATATAACGTGTGTAGACAAGATAACCTATATCTTTTCAGGAGTCCAACTGGAATTCGA